TATATTGAATTTTGAATGGTCGTTAATTAGTACACTTGTACCCACTTTAATTGATGGGACTGGTTGATTATTTTAAATAATATAAATAATCCATGTAACATTTTACGTGATATTTGAATGTCCACCATGCTATTTTTATTCCCTGAAGATATTTTTAATATTTATTTTTAGAAAAAAATAATATTTAATGTATATAATAACAAATAAATACATATTTTTTTATGATTCATTTTTTATAATAATAATTAATATAATGAATATTTTAGCAAACACTCTCTAAAACGAACAAAAGCAGAAAATTACATATATGATGGAGGGCTTGTTCTAGAGAAAGTGAACTGTATACCATGCAGCTTCTTTTCTTGGCGAATATCAAAAATTAATAGATTAATATTATTTTTATCAGATCTTATTTACTAGGCTCTAAACATTTTACCTGTGATGTAAGCTTCCAAATGCACTGTCTGCTTGATTTTATTCCAAATAAAATTAATAAAAACATTAACTTTGTACCAGGCTCCTAGCACTCGTCTAGTTCTTTAATCATTCTTCAATCATTGGTTGATGAAATTACCTTGATTAGATTGTTCTTGAAATCTCTATGTTCAAATTCCTTTATATAAGTAAAGGCATGATTTTGTGTTTTGTAGTTAAAACTAATTTGAAGTCACAAAGATCCAATATATAAATTTAAAGTTAATTGCGAATTACTACTCCTACTATTGTTAATGACATTCTTTCTTTTACTTGATGCAGTTGCAGTTGGGTTAAATAATTTATTCGAATTGGTGCTTAACCTGACAATAAAATCACCCGACTTTGAAACCTTTCAACTCAGCATTCCAAATAGCGTAACTTGTATCATGTGGAATAATTTATTAGGAGTACCATCATCTGGAACTACTCTCATATTTATAAGTGTTGCATATCCCCACTGTGAATGTAATTTCATTGAAAGACACTAGAGCTTTGAATATTTCCCAAATATATGGTTGGTACAATTATCGATTCCTCCAGTACTAATTTCTGCTCTAAAAAATCTGGTTGACATGACAAAATTCATCTTGCACAGCAGTTTTGGGACGTCATCTGAGAAAATCAGTGAATTTTTTTTTTGTCATTTTGAGAAAAAGGGGTTTGAAGTTTTTGTTATTAATTTCCCATAAAAGGAAATGACAACCCGAAAAATTTAAAATAGAAAATATGCAGACAATCTTGACCCAAAAAATTTTAATAAAAATAAAAAAACAATAATAATACATATAATTAATAAATTATTGATAAAATTAACAATTAATGTCTAGGTACAGAAGGTTTTGGACAAATATTATTTCTTTTATTGGGATTTTGCACTAGATCTCATATTTGGTCATATAAATACCATTGTCTAGAAGCACTTAACCCTATTGCTTCTTTGATTTTCAATTCATCATCCAAATTAATTGAATTAATATCTAAACTGTGGTCCTTTAAAAGACAATTATAAGATCCAAAATCATCACTATGACACCTTTTATATTTTATATAACCTGGATGTTCACTTTCAAATAGAAAATGATAATATTTAGAAATCCCAGGGAGAATTTTAAAATACTTTGAGAAAAAAGCATTCCATTGGTAAAAATCTACTTTTCTTTCACTATTTTCATAAACAGGTTGTGCCAAATTGTAGTTGAATTATTGACAATTTCAACTAAATCATCAATATCATCAATTTCTGATTTTCTCAATTTCAATTTAATTAAGCCAAAAAAACCATCTGGTGAAAATTTGGTATGTCCAGGCACCATGAAAGAATAAGTTATTCTTTTATGTAATCCATTCATCACTCTCCAAGCTAAATACCATATCATAGTATTATTTTTATTTTGACTAGAGCAGTTGTCAGCATGAATTGTGATATTTTTTTCACCTAATCCATGTTTTTGAAAGTAATCATCCACCATGGAAACTACAGTATCAGGGCCTTTACCCATTGAATATTTTTTGGGAATTAAATAATTTATCTAAAATTTTAAAAAAAGTTAATATGTTAACTATTTAAAAAATCAAAGGATAGTTTAATAAACATTACTTGTCTTGGTATAGCATCATTGCATATACCAAATAATTGCACTTTGTACAATGATTTAAAATATGAAATTCCCTAATCAATTTTTTAAATAAATTAGTATCAATTTTTTAAATCAATTTTATTAAAAAAATAAACCAATTTACCACTTGTTGAGATGAACTTGGAAGTTGTATTTGTTGTGCATAATCCCATGAAATATGAACATCAACATCTGATGAACATGGAGGAATTTCCTCTCCCATAAATGTTGGTTCATTACTTTCCAAACTTTTTTTTGCAAATTGTATACAGCTCCTAATTTTTGTATATAAAACAAATGATTTACAAATTAAACTAATTAAACCTAAAATGAAATATTTAAATCTATACCTATAATTATCTCTTTCATTATTTGCCTGCTTAATATGTGCATTCCAATTATTAACTTTTTGTTCTTTTTCAGCTAAAGACCAAAAATTTGCATTAAATCTCATTTCTTTACATAAGGTACAAAGATCAGTTCGTGGTGAGAGGAATTGAATTTCAGGAAGATAACTTCCAAATTCTTACAAAGCTTGAATAACTAATATGATGTTCTGATCCAGTTCCAATATCATTTAAAAATTTTTCATGTATTTCTGTGTAGTTATCCCTTGTAGGTAAATAAATAATTGCTTTTGTAGCTCTTTCAAAATGGCGACCTAGAATAAAAAAGAAATAAGATATTGATCAATGTTAAATAACACATATTTTAATTTTACCTGGTGATGGTAAACCATTCAAATTTGCATAACTTTTTAAAAAAGTAAGCACTTTTAATACTGTTTCAAAAGAGAGCTTATGAGAAACATTCCTTCCTTTATTCAAATGTACCTTTGGTACAATATCATTATTTTTATAGTGATTCTTTAAAGCAGTTAATCTATCATATGATAAATTATATAATTTTAAAAAAGCATTATTGCATATTGCTATACCATCAAACACAAAAGCCATTGTCATATAATCACTAGTTGAGGTTATTGAATTTCTGGTTGATGTTGAAATAATTCCAAAAGAAACATATTCTGTTGATCTTTAGTTAAATTAATATAATTTTGACAATGTAAAATAGCAACTTCTTGATTAATTTTTTCTAAACATTTTTTATTACAACATTTTTTTTTAAGTATGTTTATAATATAATTTTTTGCTTCTTCATTTTTTCTATTTAATTTTTCTTTCTCAGCTTCCAATTCACTAATTTCTGACTCTTCAATTGGTTCATTATTGTAAATTTTTTCAAAATTTTTAATTTCTATTTCTGAAAAAACTTCATTATTTATTTCATCATGAAAGTCATCATCAAAATCTTCTATCACATTGGTCTCAATAATATTTTCTGTTTCAATATCCTCAGATGAAGTTTCCATAAAATCATTTTGGAATTCTTGTAAATTTTCATGTAAATCTATTAATTCTGGATGGGTCTCATCAAAAATGTTATTCAGATATAAAGGATTATTGTTAGTATATACACATATTGATAATTTATTAAAAATTTTAAAATTTATTGTGAATGATAATCAAATTTAGATATTTATTTGAAGATCATTCCGATTTTTTGGGTCTTTACAGAAATGGCTTTTTTTAAAGAAATGGAAGTATCACAAAATTTCATTAAGCAAATATGAGTATATTTCTAAGCTGAATAGATTCCTCGACTCAAATTACATGTAACTGCATTATTTTCTCAAAAATGACAAAAAAAAAAATTCACTGATTTTCTCAGATGATGTCCCATATAGCGTATTTGATTCAAATCATGGATTCAAATCAGTTATTATTATAGATTCAAACCAGTCAGTTTTGAATCAAATCAGTTCAAATCAAATTATATATTTGAACCTGTTCGAATCAAATCAAATCAATTCGAATTCTAATCCGTTCGAATCAAATTATATATTCGATTCGAATTTCATTGATTCGTTCGGAGCCTTATCTATAGTCAAACAATGGATTATAATTCTTATAAAATACTGTACTGATGTTCATTGTTACACAATCATTAAATATTATCTTATTCAAATTATTTGTTTTATTCATTCTGTTTGAATGAAACCCATATAATAAACTTTCAATGCAATTCAAATATTAAAATTAATGAATAAATATAAACTTGAAAATAGAATACCAATTCGGAAATTGATATTTGCATTAGCCACGTCGATCATTATCTAGAAATTCCAAATTTGGGAAGAACCTTGCATCTTTACAAAAAAAACAGGAATAATGATGGTTGAACGGATTTTTCCCGCACAAATTTTTAGTTACACGGGAGAATTCAATGTGCGGAGTGTGCGGGTGTAACATCGTACATTAGTAGTTTTCTGCAGACAGTTTCTAAATTTGTAGAAATCTACATTAGTTACACACTGAAATTTATACAATGCGCAGGGGCTTTCCTAAATTGTATTACCAAATTTGGTAATTGATTTTTATTGTAAAAAGAGCAGCATAGTGGACACTGTTGCAGATCACAAAAAAATGATCAACATAACATATGTTATGGTGAAAGTTCTTGCAAAAGTTTGATTATAAAAGTGTGAGATAATTTTGATCTTGCTGATGATCTGGACTTAGAGATGCTACAGCTATATTCTAGTGAAGTTTCAGAAGCAACTGGCTCTGTGTAACCGCCTGACTATTATACAAATGACTGTTGCACAAAATGAGTGTCCATTATGCTAAAAAGAGCTCATTAATTTTTCTTTTTTTTTATTAGTAAAAAAAATTTGTTACATGAAATTTACTTAGTCTCAATTTTTTAAACATCTGCAAATTTTTAGTTTAAGAAAAAACTAGCCGATAAGTTTTGAAGCTTGAGTCATGAACAATAAAACTTATCGATCAACTTTTTTAAAATGATATAAAAATTTTTTGTTTTAGTATTTTGAAGCTGACCATTGTTACTATAATATATAAACCGTAAATCATTACTACTAGTGGTTAAAAATTCCATTTATTACCATCGCCACCTTCTTTCACTTATCATTATTATCAATCATTGGATAGTTTTGGAATAGCGTGTTATAAACGTTGTTACTGAATGGCTTCATTTTATAGAAAACCGGAACTGTATTGATTTGTACAATACTTTATAATGATACTGTGGTATTTATTGTTATTGTAAACGGTGCAATCAGTATGATGATAAAATGAAATGACGAAAACTTTTTTTTATTTAATCGCAGCATCGGTTTATGTTACATCAACTTTTCAATTGGAAATTAAACTTTAAATTGACATCATACTCACCACTAGCAGTTGACCGTTTATAAAAAGTTACAAAGTTCAAAAAAGGCTTATTAACGAAGTTAAAGATAATAATGCATAAGCGTTGCTTACTTTTTTTAGAGAATTGAATAGTTTTTGGGCGTGCGTGTTAATAATCAAGTTAGACAAATTTAAGGTTTGTCTCTCAGTATATACAATAAAAATATTTCATAATGTTACATAAGAAACCATTATTCAAACAAAGAATTTGGTTATGATTTTAAGATCTAATTTAGATTGAACATTATTGGCTCATATTTTATTGTACTGGTATAGTGTATCCAAGAATAATAGCGTTCAATGAGCCAATTAATTCATAATGTGATGTCTGCAAACGACCATTGTTTTTTAATTGGCTTTTTTCTTTCAATTAATCCGCTAATACTTGTTCTAGATTCATTTTTGAAAATTTTATTTGACATATATGTATATATTAATAATACTTCAAAAAAAACTCGCAATAACAATATTTGTTTTTATTATGATTTTAATAAATTCCCTTTTTGTTTTTTTTTAGAAAAAATTAATTATTCGCCATTAAATATATTTTACGCAACACATATGGATCCTGAATTATCATTATATATTGATAAAGCACAACTTGACGATGATGAGACTCGCCTCATATTCAATCCTCCTTGTAAAATCTATTCACAAATAAGTGGATTTATTTCGCCTAATCCTAATAATGTTAATTCCATAGGTATCCCAAAATCACAAAACTCTTTTTTCTTATACCGCAAAAATTATACTGCTAAACATAAATCTTCTAGGAGTAAAAAGGATTGGAAAATACTTTCAAAGGAAGCCGGCAATGCCTGGAGTAATGAATCGAACGAAGTGAAAAATTACTTTAAAGTATTAGCAAAACTGGCTCTTCAAAAACACAAATTAACTTATGAAAATATACTATTAAAAAATTGTATTTTTATTTCTCAACAACCAGAACTACAACAAAAACAAATAGATAACAATAATTTTTCAACTTCGCTATTACCTTATCCACATTCTTCTTCTTTCTCTTCAACTTATCGTTACACGAACGATAATACAAGTTCGTCTTATCAACGACTAAAGCTACAACAGAAACAAAAGGATAATTTAAATAATAAAGATTGTGCACCCTCATCACCTCACCTGTATTCTAATTTTCCTTGCACAAGCGATAATACAAATTCGCCTCATTTTATGACTCGACAACCAGAAATAAAACAAAAACACCAAGATAACCTTCATAATAATGATTCAACATCATCACTTTATTCACATTCTAATTTTTCTTGCGCCAATGATAATACAAATTCGCCTCATTTTATGACCCAAAAATCAGAACTAAAACAAAAACAAAAGGATGGCTTTCATAAAAACAATAATAACGATTGTGCATCTTCATTACCTCATCTACATCCTACTTTTTCTTACACAAGTGATACCTCGCTTCATTTTGTGGCTCAACAACCATTAATACAACAAAAACAAAAAACCAATATTTATAAAAACAATAATAGCGATTCATCGTCAGAACCTCATTTACATTCTAATTTTTCTTGCGCCAATGATAATACAAATTTGCCTCATTTTATGACCCAACAACCAGAATTAAAACAAAAACAAAAGGATGGCTTTCATAAAAACAATAATAACGATTGTGCATCTTCATCGCCTTATCTACGTCCTACTTTTTCTTACACAAGTGATACCTCGCTTCATTTTGTGGCTCAACAACCAGTACTACAACAAAAACAAAAAAATAATATTTATAAAAACAATAATAACGATTCATCGTCAGCACCTCATTTACATTCTACCTTTTCTTATACAAGTGATAGTACAAACTCGCCTCATTTCGTAGCTCAGCAACCAGAAATACAACAAAAACAAAAGGATAATTTTTATAAGAAAAATAATAAAGATTCTGTAGTTTCATCATCATCTCATCTGCATTCTACTTTTTCTTGCACAGGTGATAATGCAGATTTGCCTCATTTTATGACTCAACAATTAGAATTGCAACAAAAACAAAAAGAGGATCTTCTTCATAAAAACAATAATAACGATTATGCAATTTCGTCATCATCTTATTCATATTCTACTTTTTCTTATAAAGATGATAGTACAATCTCGCTTCGTTTTGCGACTCAACAACCACAAATACAACAAAAACAAAAAGACGAGAAAAATAATAACGATTGTGTAGTTTCATCATCGTCTTATCCACAATTTATTTCGTTTTATTTTGATACTAATGCTGATTGGAATACAATTATTGACTACTTCCGATTTTAATATTAATGTTATTGGAATTCATTTATTGATTTTATTCTTATGAAAATATGAAACAAACAATATTTTTTGAATTGATAAATAGATATGATAGCTTGTTATAATGATATTTTAAAGAGAAAGTTTTTACGAATATACCATCTCAATAGAAATTTGGTTAAAATAATTAAAATTTATTTTTATAATATTATTTGTAAAGATATAATTTTACATTTTTTTGCAACCCTTCTAATATATTTTTTTGTCTCTATTGTCTTCATTAAGCCAGTTTCATATTGTAGCAGTTACAAAATACAAGTCTAATGATAATATTTGGTAAGTTATACCTAGCTTTGAGTGTACATGAGGTCGAGGAATGGCAAAAAGCAATAAATTTTAATAGATACTACTACACAGTGAGTCTCGGTATAATGGATATTTAACTAGTACAAATTTAGAAACTATCTGCATAAAATTGAATTTGAGTATTTTTGCAGATAGTTTTTAAATTTGTACTAGTTAAATATCCGTTATATATACCGAGACTCAATGTCCATAGAAGTATCGCTAATCAAATCCTTTTCTGGTTAGTATGTTTAGTTCTTTTTTAGATAAAAAGAATCAAATATTATTTACAGAATTAATATTACTATACTATTCTTCCCATAAAGTCGAAAAAAGCCCACATCCACACCATTATGTGGAATAATTTAACTGCTAATTGTTGTAGTTGCAAATTCAGTGCACGTAAAAAGCTTTCGGAATGGAATTTTTGTTTATTATGTAACGAAAAAAAAAGTCAATAGCACATGAAAATTTATAGATATATTCTTTATAATTTGATAAATAAGTTTACTTAAAGCTTGCTTAGTGGCTTATATTATTACCTTTTTTCTCAATTACTTTACTTAATTTTGACGTTATACAACGAATTAACAAAAAATTGTTGATCCCCTGAATTATTTCTGCAGCAACTTTTTTTTTATTGATTTGCTTTTCAACACGTCCCTTTAATTTTTCCACAAATTCCCAATTAGATTGAGATCTGGTTATTTGATAGCCAATCCAACATTTTTGGACAGCATTGTGCAAGGGTCGTTATCATGTTGAAGGATCTGACGGTTTCCCATGACATTGTTTGCATTGTCAAATAGATTTTCAGTCAAAATCTTTCGATATAATACACCATCCATAATATCAGTAAAAAGAAAGAATCCAATTTGACCTTTTACAGAAAAGACGCCCCAGGCATGAATTATGTTTTACCATAGCATTGTGTAGATGTTGACTGTCAGGTTTATAAAATACTTTTTGAGTATTACTAAACATTTGTAATGTAGTTTCATCGGAAAAAATGACTTTATTCCAATTTTGTGTCTTGTATTTTATGGCAAGTTCTATACGACATTATTTGTGTTGATTGGTAAGAAGAGGTACAGATTTTGAGATGGTGGAACGATATTGCAGTCTATAAAGCTCATTAAATACTGTATGATATTGAGATTATAATGATGTTTATTTAAAATATTTGCAAGTTCGGCGAAGGTGAATGATTTATTCTTTAAAACAAGGTGACGACATGTTTAGGGAAAAGTTTTCTGAGTCTGCTAGAACTTGCTTAGGGTCTAAAGAAATCCTATTACTAAGTTTTTTAGTATAATCATATAATGTAGAAAATGGAATAGAAGTTAATTTGTGCAAATTATAGGCATCACAAGTATCGTTTTTCCATAAAGTAGTTACGGTTTACGATGTTGATCAATCGAAGGTTTTGTTTTAAGAAAACGCAAAAATTTTGCAAATCAAACCGGTTAAACCTAATCGCCCTTATGACTTAACTAATTGCTACTTATGCTTTAAGGAACTAAAAGGAGCAAGTAAGAAAGGAGTAGTTAAGAATCGGCAAGTCACGAGCTATGTTACCCAAAAAATGAATGATTTTTGATTAGACACATATTTTAAAAGAAACCGTGTTTATTTGAAACAACATTTTATTCCGAAAACTTATTGGTTTATTTCTTTGTCACTTCCTTAAAGTGTAGAAATTTTAATCGTCACATTTATTTTCTGCATGTGACGAAAAGAAAACATTTCTTCTGGTGGTGTTGGTCACCCAACCTTAATTTCGATGCAAATCAGGTTAACTAATTTTACATTAAAATAAGACCTATGTTTGGTTAATTAATTTTATCATAAAATAAACAAGATTTATTTATTCATTAATATTTAATGTCCATAATTTTGATTTTTGATTTTTGATTTGATGGCAATGTTAACAATGATAAAGATGTTTATGAGGATTTTATGAAGATATTTCTTGCGATGCAAAATTTTCTAATCAGTCAAAATAGCTTTTTTAAAATGTCAACTATTGGAATTATGTGATCTGATGTTGGATTTAAAATGGAAAAAAATATCTCTTTTCTATTCAACGATCCCGATAATATTTTGACAAGTAATTTCTCTATTGCCTTGCTTTACATACTTGCCATTTCACAATAGTACCCTCTTGTCTAAATACTTCCAAGCAATATTCCATTTCCTCCTCGTAAATTATTTTTAAGCTAACATTTAATGATTACAGATTTGGCTGACTACAAATATAATAGTCAGTGATGGATAGTTCGTGGACGTCGTGCAAAAAATTTTTAAATTACATGCATGTGCGCTCACGGGAATTATGCACACTACGCGCAAGTTTGCATATTACTAATCATGATACATTAATTCTGGATTAATATCTGCTGCATATTTGTTTATGTTGATGACGAAAACAGAAGTTTTTCATGAATGACCACTAGGCGTCAATTTTCCCAATTAAGGATTGTAGTACAATGTGTAATGATGTTTTATTTAATCGTGACTCATTGATTGTTTGATTGATCCATTCATAGAGAGAAAGGAAGAGAGTTTCTTTAATATGATATATACGCCCTGATTTGGTATTTCACGTAAATTTAAAATTGACAACGAAATCAAAATATCTCTTTTTTTTTTCTCATTTTCTATTTGCATATTGTAAAGAAATTTTAATGTTTAATAGTATGAATCTAACGTTTTGTTAATATTGTTATTGTAATTGATTGACGGATAAAAGAAATACAATAATAAATTAGGAATAGTGAAAGAGGAATATTAGCCAAAAATAACGAGCAATTGTAAAATGTTGTTTGCTAAAACCAGCGCCTAAAGTTAAACTATATATAGTCTTTTGATATATAAAATAGATTTCTTTGATTATAGACCTTTGTTTCATTATTTTTATTATTGAAATGACTAAAGTTCAACTTCCATTTCAAATTTATTTTCAAACATCATCTCAAGCCAATACATATCCTGAAAGATATATATGCCATCTAATACAAATCAGCAGGATCGAAATGAAAAGCATAAGCCACAAGATGGAGGTCGACCTAGAGAACAAATTTGGAGTCATAATAAAACTAATAATCCTGATACACACGGATATCTGGGTACAGCTTACAACATTGTCCAAAGCATTAGATATGTGGATGCCCTGGGAAATGAAAACACATCTTGCCAATATCTGTTCTGGAAATAAATTCTTTTAACTGAAAATGTTTAATCTGGAAAAATTTTGACACTACTTAAAGACTCAAAAGATAGCACACCTTTTTGCAACTGCGTAACAAATGATTTTCGATTGTACTAGTACTATCTTTTGGGAGTGCTATTTTTCGAAGTTTTACGGTATGTATTAAATGACACATTAACGCAAAATAAATAAATCCAAATTAAATTTGAACCTAAAATTTTCTTTTTTTAGTTTAATTTAACATCATCTTTTGTCATTCTGTCATTCATCGTTTTCTTCTTTCGCTTATCATTGAACAATTCGGAATAACAAATTATTGAATCTGAATGGTATAATTGGTATGATCATATTATTGTTGTTGTTGTTGTTATTGTTATCATCATCACCATATTATTATTATATTATTATTTACTTTATCTCTGTTGTAAATGAATAAAATAGCAAATAAAAATAGATAATGCTGCTTTTTATTTTTATTTTTTCATAAATAATTCTATTTTTAGCTACTACATTATTTTCAATTAATAATGAATTAGTTGATAATTTAAAATGCAAATAAAATGTATATTAATACGAGTACACTAGCGCCAGGAAAATAAATCTTACGTAAACATAGGGCTCAAAATTGGCCAGTTTTATGTCGAGATTTTGGTGATTCTGGTAACACTTCCACATAATGCCGGTTGATTTTGAACCCGACGTAGGTTTATGTGAGATTTATTTCTGAGATCCAAATATTTTTAAGGTTCAAATTCGGCAGTGTAGGATTGATATTAATTCAAGCCACTTTTTTAGATTATAAGGTGAGTACCGTACTGAGATTTTGAACTTTAAATTTTTGATACATATGTAGAATGAATAATACTCGCTGATCATGTTCTACATAACCGAATTAATCACCACCATTATTTATTATTTATTATGATTTTGATAAAAAATAGTCTATAATAGTAAATTTATGCATTTTTTCTTTATCCATTTTTATTTTTTTGCATCGAATAAATAATGTAATAATTAGAATTCCAAATGTTTCGAGAATAAGAAATATTTTATTTTAATTAAAAAAAAAAACAACAGTTTAATGAGCAATAAACATACACAGCCAATCACTTTGCATCAATTTACTAGTGTAAGTTGTCATCTTTATCATTCCAATTATTAATACCACCGCCATCTTCTTTCACTTATCATTATTATCAGTCATTGAACCATTTGGAATAGCAGATTACTGAATAAAAATAAAATAACAAACAATATTAAAAATTTGTTACAAAACAATATTTGTAATATTGCCATTATACTATATAATTGATAAAACATCATTTAATGCAACTGGTTCTCAATGAGATGGTTAATATATTAGAAGGGTTGCAACGAATGCAGAATCAATTATATAATAAATAAAAAACATATAAATGCAATAAAAAAATCATAATTAATTGTTGAAAAATATTTTAAAAAGTAAAAAATAATATTAATAAATTAATAAAATTCATGAAGTTAACACAAGGTCTTGAATACAAATAAGTTGACCCAATTTGCCTATATTCATAAAACTTTAATTTTTTAAAAAATGTCATAGGTTATTATATGTTGATTTAAACAAATGTTGCTTAGTTACTATTCATTTTGTGGCAAAAAACGCCCGCTAAACGCCAAAAATCTGCACCATTGGATGGTGTATCTGTTTGTTCATCTTGTAAAAATCGTTGAAATTCTTCTAGGAGATTTTCCCCATTATTTAAATTTGTAGTAATGTCGAATTGGGTGGATTGGAGTAAAGCATTAGTTTTATTGATGACGTTGTTGTTATAATTAATAGGAAGAGTATTGTAATCAGATGAAATCGGACGTGGAAGAAAAGAAGTGGAAGAATTAGAAGGCGATGAATTTAGTGATGTTGAAACTGCACAATTGTTATTATTATTATTATCTTCTTGTTTTTGTAGTAGTTCTGACTGTTGATAAAACGAGCTTGCATTATGATTTGTGTGCAAAAAAGTAGAAGAGGAAGGAGAAGGATGTGATAATGAAACTACATTATCGGCATTATTATTATTATTATCTATTTGTTTTTGCTGTGGCTCTGGTTGTTGATAAGACGAGCTTGGGTTATCATTTGTGCAAGGGAAAGAAGAGAAAGAAGAAGGTGGAGAAGGTGATGATGAAATCGTGCAATAGTTAACATTGGTTTTATAAGAATTTTCTTTTTGTGGTTCCGGTTGTTGTTGAGTAACAAAGATAAATTTTTTTGGTAGTTGATTTCCCAGAATGACACTTTCGTAAATTGATTTATGTTTTTCAAGGGCCAGCCTTGCTAATATGTTAAAGTAAGAAGTTACTTTGTCCGATTCCTTCTTCCAGGCATCTCCGGCTTCCTTTGAAATAATTTTCCAATTCTTTCTACACCCAAGAGATTTACGTTTTGCAGCATAATTTTTGCGGTATAAGAGAAAAGCGTTTTGAGATTTTGGGATATCTATAGAATTAACGTTATTAGGATTAGGCGAAATAAATCCAATGATTTGCAAATAGAGTTGACAAGGAGGATTGAAAAGAAGGCGAGCTTCGTCATCGCAAAGTTGTGCTTTATTAACATATAATAATATTTCAGGATCCATGTACGTCATTTAAAATATATTATCTTTTATTGAAGATGGTATTATTATTGAAGCTCCAAATTAATCCAAGTGAACCCGAAACTTTTTCAAGTTTTGAAATTTTTTTTTTATTTACAAACGGAAATTAATAAAAATTGCACAATTATAATAAATTGTGATTTTAGTAATGGCTCATGAATATATACTATTAAAATTTTCCTATATTTTACAAAAAATGTGAGTATGTTATTTGATGATTTAAATTCTTTGTCTTATAAATCTACTATTATACGGGACATGTTGCATAAATTAACTTGCTGATCAGTTATTTAGCAGTTATTAAACCAATCTGCAAGTTATTTAACAAAGTTTCTTTTTAATGATTTAAAGCTTTAGATTTGTTGTAGTTTGTTCATTTCAATATCACCTTGTTGAAGAAGTTTTAGACGTTAATTTACCATTTTTGCCAGTTTCTTCTTCTGTTACGATTTCATTACCTTCCGCTCCATTATCAATCGAAATATATTCTTCTGCTGCTAATGGTGAAGAAAAAGATAATCCATTGATCAAAATTTTGATTTCATTATTTCGATTGATTGAAATATTTTCTATTATATAGGATCCTTCTATTTGTCATTGGATATTTTCCCAACAATTAAAAATAATTGGTTTTGGATCTACAGCCCTACAGTCAAACATTGGCACAGAGATGAATTAATTGTGGTTTTAATTAAAATAACAATCGGGCTTCTATTCATTCGTAATTAATTGATTTTCAGAAATGATCAGTATAATTTTGATTGGTTCCGACATGTCATTATAACAGGGTGTATAATAGTTTCACAACATTAGATTGGCTTTGGACTAATTAAATTCTTCTAGTTAATATTAATATAAAAGTCACCCTAAGTGATCAACCTATTTCTGCCGCCACGTGTACAGCACTCTATGACAATAATTTTAAAAATTTTTATTACACAACATATCCCACTAGCATATTTTTTGACATTCCAACAACAATACTCTCTTGTTTAAAATACTTTCAAGCAATATTTCACTTCCTCGTCGTAAAATTAGGCCTTGAAGCGTGATATTTTTGAGAATTAACATTTAATGATGATGGATTTGATTTGATGATGAGGACTATAAATATAGTAATAATACATTAATTCTGAATTAATATCCGATTGCATATTTATTTTCAATAATTAATTAAGCTTATTTTTTCGGCCAATTTTCCCATTAAAAGAAATACGTAGCGACTTAGATATTGGATCGTCCAAAAAAATCCTTAGTAACTAAATTTTTTTTTATTAATATTTTATTATTAACAATTTTTTTAATTTACAAATTACGAATTCATTTCCATTTGAATCTTTCACTTTTTCAAAATACTTCCACATAAAATTTGTTTTTTAAAGCCTTATATTAAATCATTGGAATTTGAAGCCAATGAACTATTGTACCTTGTATCGGAAATGTTTATTAGTTCACATGTAAAATTATCAACAAAAACACCACCACCATTGTCATCATCATATATTGATGGTATTGATACTCCTCCGCATAGAAATTTTTTTTATACTACAAAAATCTGTTTTTATTTATAATTGGTCAGACAATAATTATCAATATTAATATTAGAATAGTATTAATGATGTATGACGAAACTTTTGACTTTAGTTATTGACGTGACGAAAGTACTGTCTAAAGGTGGTTTCTCACCAAGGGCCCTTTTGACAATTTGACGAAAGTAAAAATTGAAAATGAAATTTTTTTTTTGTTTTATATATTTATATATTGAATTGAAATTAGTATATAAAACGACCATAAACTATTCAAATTACAAGCAGCTTTCACCTTCTTTTCATATCCAATATTAAGTTCATGAGATATTATTGTTTAAGACAATGTCAGATCCATAAAATAAATTATCTGCTAAACCTTCCTCAAATTTGTGGATTCATTTTACTAAAAAACAAGAAGAAAAATTTAAAGGCTGTTACTCTGCACAATGCAAGTATTGCACAAAAAGGTTTAGTCATGGATAACCACAAAAACTTTTATCACATTTAACAAATCATTGTCCTGGCTGTACTCATGAAATTAGAAAAGAATGTCTAAGGCAAATAAAATGATGATAATAACAATGAAAATTTAGAATCATTAACAACTCAACAGCCAATTTCAAATTTTATTAAAGCACGCATTGTTGACAAAAAAATGCAATGATTCTATTAATTGGGCATTAATCAAAGCATTTCTTTGCTGTGGAATTTCTTTTTCAGTTTTCAGTAATCCATACTTTATAGATCTTCTTCAACAACCCTGTCCTGAATATCAACCACCATCTAGGAGTGTTTTATCTGGAAAATTTCTTGATATCGAAATATCTAATTTCAATAATAAATTGAATTCAATATTAGAAAATAACAAAAACCTATCCCTTAAACGGTTTTTCGGCTATTGATAGCCGAAATTTTTTTTCTGTTATAAAAAACTTTTTCTGAATGTATTAATTCCTAATACGAAAATGATCTTTGGGATTCAGCTGTTTGATATGTGAATAAAAATTCGATTGTTGTTCTTCAGTGTTGCGACCCGAAACTCTGAGTTTAGGGAAAACCAGAAACAGAAACTAACAGAAACCACCCGAAACTAGTTTAGGTTAGTAGTTTAGGTTTAGTTTTAGGTTTAGTTTTAGTTTTCTGCTTAGTGTACATCAGGAAATTTTTCCCGCCGCAATATTATGTCCATAAATTTTAATATGTAAAGTTGTAATATTTGCATAAAAATTATGTAATATTTACACTCGATATAATAATTGCATAATTTTTGTATGCTTATTTGCATAATATTACGGGCCCGCCGTAAACTTACATAGATAGTGTAATAATTACGTAAACCTGCGTAAAAAAAATTTCCTGATGTAAGTTGATTTTCCGAAACGTTTCGGGGAAGCCAAAAGAGCTTCTGGTGACAACACTGTTGTCCTTGTGGTTTTCGTAAAATCTTCCTTAAAAGTTGGTCGATTGACTATTTTTACTTTGCAGATCGTTAAATTGGCCAATAAGAATGCAAGGTCGTGATCAAAAAATCATTTCGCGTTACCATTAAAGAATAATTTGACCGTTTAAGAGATAAAAAAAATTTATTTTAATAAAAAGTTAAGTCTGATTTTCTAATTTTTTGTTTTGCTCAATAATTTTTGAATGATTTTGACTTTCGTCAAGGGTTTAGTCTTTCATCGTTTTTTAGTACATTTGACGAAATAGTTTCTCAATTCCAAAAACATTTCGTCATACAGCATTACATAGTATTAACATTAACATTGGCATTAGTATCTCAGTTTAGCGGATTTAGGGCTTAACGGATAAACTTTCAAAACAAAATTTTTCTATAATTATTTTATCTCGCTTTAAAAGTTTTAACGGATTTTTCATATTAATATCTTTTTTTTCCCAAAGTTGAAGTTTATTTTTATTAAAGTATAATTGTGTAAAATATAATAATAAAATACAAACAATTAAATAAAAAAATAAAACTACTGCCCCTGCTACTATTAATCCAAAGAAAAAAAAACCCCCCTGGAGTGCATGGGACCAACTTGCCATTTAGTAACTCAAAAATCGAACCAGCTAGGCCTACTTAAAGTTAATGCCTATGCACCTAACTGGTATTCTAGATTCAATGGCCAGTTAACTATTACTATAAAATCCAACCATTCGCCTCCAAATCTAATTGAATGTAATATCCCTTTTTTGGATTTTTCATATTAATATTAATATATAGTCGTGTGACATTTCCCTGAAATAAATTCGAAATTCGTGTCACATGAAGTTTTTTTAAAATATCTCGTTATTTTTATAATAAACTCGAACTTTGTTGTTAGACTAAAATGAAAGTACTCCATTAAAGCTTTCTAATGAATACTTTTTCATATCGAAAGGTCTCCTCTACACGAATTCACGGTTATTCAAAAACGGTATTACTTTTTCACTTCAAACCTCAGATTGTTTCTCAATATCGCTTTAAAAGGCTTGATAGTAAATGAGAAGGTGTAGAATACTTTAAGTTTTTATATGGTCATTACTTTATGGGGGTATTGGTTAATATGTTTTAGAGAGGTTCACGAAAAACTATTTTATAGAAATTTTAATGGTCATGAAGAATTTATCCATTTTATCAACATCTTGTCTCATTTCAATTATCATCAATAGTTTTTGATACCAATATTTCTTTTAATAAGAAGATTTTATGAACCATATAAATTGTCCCTTGGGTATTCAAAATGATTTTTTAAAGTTAGTGATCAAATTGGCGATTATTATTATGGGTGAAAATGCACCATATTTAGTCCACCAATTTTTTGTCTACACATAAAACAATATTTAGAACTTACTACATAGGCATCGAGTGTCGTAGAATAAGGTGAGATTTCCCAACGAGTAATTTGAGTTTTTATGTATCTGAAGTTACGCTGTCACTATGATTGGAAGTAGGAAGCTGGAAGCACTTCATGGCCACAGCTTGTGGAAGTTACCAGTCAGACACCAGACCTGATGTACAATGGACGACATATTGTGAACGTTCTTCGGATTGCAATTTAATAGGAACCAATATGGACTGGTTTTGATCAGATCTGTTCGAAGCCTTACCTAGTATAATGAATAAAGTTCCGCATGAGCCGGCTCGCAAGCTGAATAAGTTATTTGGCTCGCAAGCCAGCTCGTGAGGAGCTTTAATAACTAATTTTTTACTAGTGCACACATCCTTTAGTTTTTGATTTTAAATAGGATTTTTGATTATCGTTTTTCTCGTTTACTTCCTCTTTTGTTAATTTTAAATAGACTTCTTCAAGCGCTTCATCTAAATCTACGTACTATATATATAAGCCAAGGTTATATACACTAGCTGAAGGTTGATCTATTGAATTATTCTGTTTTTTTTTACGAACTTGCTTTTTAAATAATCGCCGATCAAACTTTTTCCGTTAATATTAATTACGTGACTACAAAGAT